AGGGCCCACAACGGGGACAACTAGATCAGGTCACGTGGAGTGACCTTCACATTTCCATAATAATAGACTCCGACGCAACGGCGAGTCCGCTCCGCCGTCCCAGCGTGGCGGCGACCGTACTGCCCCGCTGTGTGTTCGATTACCGGGTGCCACGTCCCTTAATGCGACCCCGGCCGTCCTTCCCGTCAAAGGTCGCCCGCTCTCTCGCTCGGCGTCGTATCGTAATGAGCGACCATTCGCTCGGGAAACTGGTCAGGAGGGACATCACGTTGCTTGGTCACTTCCTGGTGGTCGTCGCCGAGACGGCGTCACGATACGACCACGGTCCTTATAGATAGACTACTTACTGGTCTGGAAACTTCGGAGGGTTTCCGCCCTAATGCGAAGCGCAAGTTCGTCTGCTTCTTTTGCAGGGGTTTTGGTGACGTCAGAACGATGCCGAGCTCTGATTGGCTCTGATTGAAGGATAGTGGGTAGATCTCAAGGCAGCTTGCGTTGAGTTCTAAGGACCGTGCTACGACGAACCCCTCGCGGATTCCAGATGCGAGCCCTGTTTTGTGGGTAACCGTTTTGGTGTTAGACGCAGAGAAGCTCGAGTCAACGTATTAGTGTACTGCAATGTATTAAGGTGGCGATGCAAGCGAGTTGGTTCATGACTTCGGAAATTGGAAACAGCGCGCAAAAAGACGAAGACGACGAGAGAAGAGCACAGGACAAGCGCTGTCCTGTGCTCTTCTCTCGTCGTCTTCGTCTTTTTGCGCGCTGTTTCCAATTTCCGAACTGCAATGTAAGAGCAAAAAACAAAAAGTAGGAGTGAGCTAAAGTAGGCGTGATGGTAGGAGTAAGCTAAATTAATTTACCTGACGCTGCACGAAGCTCACCTTCATTTTCTGCACTAACCTGCATCAGCGGACATAAAAATAAATAAAAAAGCGTCGACGTTATGTTCGTGCAAACTGTTTTGCGCTGCGCTCTGCACGAGACGTACCGTAAATAGCTTTTTACATTATGAGAATCAGCTCAAAACAAAATTTACAGTGGCTGGAGAATGTCTTTTTCAGCAACTCTTGGCACGGCCGATTGCGCATACGTGCCTGCGACACGAACGCGCCGCACGGTATATATATTTAGAACGCCACTCCATCTAACCACCTCTCGCCCGCGCCGTTTCCGATAACAAGAAAAAACATATTGATGAATGATCGAGCGCGCAACTTTGGGCCAGAAATTCCGAAGCCCACACTGCCCCCTTCGAAAACCCAAAGCTCCCGCAGTATAAGCGAGTGTCTAACTCTAAGGATCCTTGAAACCACCGGTTTTTTTTTCTTCTTTCTTGGAACGAGTACATACATACACGCGCCCGCAGAGGAACTACGCCTATTCGGGTGCTAGATTGCTTTGAGATAGTATGTGCCGAGCGACCAAACTTCGGTAATATAGAGAGAAGGCTCGTAATACCGTGGGTAGTGCGGAGCGTAGACTTTCCGCTTCGAGTTCCCCCCAGCAAAACCAGACATTTAACGGTGCTTTTCTCTTTTCCTTCCCCAGTGAAGGCCTTATTGGGATGCCTTTCTTTATCTAGACCGCGCGGCAACGGCCCTCGAGCTGGTTTGTAGCAGAGGGGGCGAATGCCTAGGTAAATGCAAATAGTGTTTGTCTTCGACCTTCTGCGCTGGTTAAATATAGAATACCCTTCCTTCCCTGTGCTCAGATATGTCCACAGTAGCTGGCCCTTTTTTTATCAGTTCGAACGAAATCCGTCAGGATTTCCTGGCGCGCGATGTTGCGCTCGAGATGGCATATCGGAACCGGCTAATGACCCGCAGGTTTTCAGTCCTATATTCTCGGCCTTATCGCGGCTAAATATTCACATTAATTGTTGCATTTAAGTTAACGGAACCTCTTGTATATCTCATGTGCTTCCCGAATCACTGGAAAGGGGGGATCGGCGGCCAAGTATGTTGACGCAACACCACCCCGAACAAACAAAGTTTGTGCACTCCAATATCATTCCAGTGAGATGGAGCATATGAACAGAGATCAGACACAGATTGAGCAGGGCCAATCACCGCGTCGAAGGATGCTCGGCATCGGACTCGGGTACAAGTGCTGAGTCGGTGACATCCAAATGTGATGACGTTCCATGGAGGACCAGGAGGATGTACGCACGCCTACGCTGGGTGGTGTTGGTTCAGGACTCGCAACTCGTACAACGTGGATCAGAAGCTGGCTCTACAGAACGTAGGAATCTCCGGGTTTAATCCCCACCCTTGCCCGTTTCGATCTAGATGAGTGTCATACCGGTGTGCGGTTGTGTATCACTACTACGCGATGCACTTAAAGACACTTTCTCATCTACAGCGGAGACACCAAACGTCTTTGGGACTGACTAACTTTATGTCTAAAACAAACATCACACCTTAAAGCTAGAACCACAGATCGTTAGGTATTGTTTAATGAGTTCAGACAATGAAATGGACAAATGCTATCGTGATGTTTGTTATGGAGATTCAGTGGCACAAATGTCTCGACTCATTTTGCCTTTGAGGTTGCATGGTCAATGAATCATGGTTCTGCTGGCCTACCTAATTGGCTGAACGTACGTTTTAAATAATGGCCACTTATTGGTTCTCGGAGTGCATTGCGGTGCACTTCCATATGCCCACGTTGGAGAGGCATAAAGAGGCTCATATGTCAAAGTACTTATATAAGAGCCAAAGAAAGCGGAAATGTTACATACGCATAGTTGTTTATAAACCCAAAACTAAATTTTATGTCCGGGAGTAGATGGCAATGTTGTACGGGGATGCATTTTCAGGGGCTAAGCGAAAATCCGACGAAGTACCGCTGCATTTAAAGTGAGCAGCATTTGACGTCGGGAAAGAATACAAGCGTTAAGGAGAGGCCAAGAATAATTGCGAAGTTTGGTCAAGTTCATTGGTGCCAGTATAACACAGAACCAATCGACGATTCTTTCGGACCATGAGAGAAGCAAGGGAACATCACACCTATCAATGAGCCTTTGTGATGTAATGATAAGAAAGGAGTCTGAAGGGCTCCAAAGATCAGATACGGCTATTTTCGACAGCCTGTGAAGAAGATAAAAGTATACTGCTAGTTTTGTTTCAATGGTTTAGAACGGAGCCAATGAGCGTACAAACACTCACTATTTTACCTCCGAAAATCTTGACGTATGCAGACCTTATGCAAACCTTAAGCAATTTATCTACTCGGCTTTATAGTGCCGTTACGTACGTATTCTTTGGAAAAAGACGGATTTTGTTTTATTCATTTACACTGGAGTAAACCAGTACTGTACAGGTAATAAGGAAGTAAAATCTGCTTCACATTGGCTTGAAGAACACAACAGGCGCAGTCAGTCAAACGTTGGCGTTTTGTCACCTGGACGCAATTTGTAGATAACGTGACCTATTTATAATATTGTTTAAAGTGTATATTTCCAGCTCAGGCTCTTTTTGTTTATGAAGCTTGCGCAACCCTATTGCAAAACTGTCTATGGGGCCCATCAGGATTTCTAAAATGTTTCGACGTACCCTTGAAATTTTCTGAGGAATTTGAGATATTCGTCGAAGTGTTTTAAAGGGCCTGACGTACCATTCAAGATTTTTTAAAAGGTACAGCTTTTTTAGATGCTGATGGAGTCTGTCCTAATCTTTTCCGTGCAAGCACGACACCCATCAAAATCGTTTTAGCGGCCGGGTCTGTGGGAAAGATCACGTGACCCTTTAAGATATATGCGTCGGGGAGGCCGCTTGGATGGTCTGTATCGGGCGGCCGCAAAAAGCGGACGCTCCATGTGGGCTTCACGTTCAGTCCGTGGGAGCTTTCTAGAGCAGCTCGGTGTGCGGATCAAGGAAAAGGTCCATCAGTGCCCTGTTTCTTGCGCAGAGATGCTCATCCACCGAGCGAAAAAGACACTGGAGACGCCACCGCAACTGCACTAGGGGCAACATCGTGACCGTGCTCAGGATTTATCAGCGGCGGCGCACTTTGTTTTCGCAAAACATGCTCCGGGCAGTGTTTATTTGTGCGTGGCTGCACCTGCTCGATTGCGTTGGTTGAACTACCGTATATCTCGGGAATTTACCCAGCGGCATTTTGAGTACATCGAAGTACATTTTTCGCGACAAAGAACCGGATTGTTTCTATTTAACTTCATCTCTTTTGTCTACAGCCGCTCGCGCCCGGGTTTGAGTACACGTTGGTTCTTGTCGTCGTTTCGAGTAACAATATGCATGCAAACACTTAATGTTTAAAATAAACTTCCAATAACGTTTTGAACTGCATTTTTGTTGTATTGTTTACATTCATTCGGGTGTCTAAATGGTCGAAGGGCTGAGGTGGTCTGTAATCCTGAAGGGTCTGAAGGGGTCTGAAGGGCTGAAAGGTTTTGAAGCGCTGAAGGGGTTTGAAGGGCTAAAAGTGTCCCATTACACATAAGTGCTGAAGTGTTAGTTTCAATAGGGAAGGAGGGCTCTGGGTTCTTCAAACACTCCAACGAAACGCCACCTGGTGTTCTTAATTTCTTTGACTAAATATTCACAAGTGATTGCGGGTGGACTACCGGTACTGCGTTGCTCTACACTTGGAGCAGAGATCAGTGACCTTATTTTCTTCAGTTTGGTCAGTTGAAAACAATAAAAATCGCTCACAAATGGATTGCAATATTATACGTGAAAAATGTGGATGCTTTGTTAACACAAGGAGGGCATGGCAATATGAGTGCAGAACCATTTGAATACTTATTGGCCAGAGTAATTCAACAAAATACTGATTGGTGATCGAAGTACACAGAGACACAGTACGCATGTAGGCACTTTCGAGTGTACATGATCGTGGATTGTACGCTGAGTAGCGTCGCTCAACTTCACTCAGTTGGGTAAGGCTATGACAGAAATGTCGATATCTTTTCTAGCGCGTTTCGTACGTCAGTACCAGATTTTTCCTTGTTATTTCCATGATGCATGTCGCCAACATGCCGACGAAATCATACCTGAGACGTCGTCTCCAGCCTCCCGAGGCACCGGCGATTCTGAAGAAGACAGGTCACCTAGTTCGGACCTGTCGCTTTCAAGGTGACTGGTCTCGGTGGACAGTTCACTGGTGGCCGAGCTTGTCTCTTCCTCCGGGATGGTGTCCATGTCGTTGAGACCCAGAAGATCACATTCGTCTCGCGAGGCGTCGCAAAGGTCGACCCGTTTGCCGTTCCTGTCCAGAAAGGTCCCGGATGACACACCGGAAGGACCGTTCAGGAGGCCGGAAGGATCGTCCAGGAGACCGGGATGTTCTTCCAGAAGACCGGAAGGATCATCTGGAGCACTGAAAGGATCGTCCAGCAGACGGGCCTCCATGACGATATCTTCCGTAGCACTCGCTACGGAGCCGTCTGAAAAAAAAAGAAGGAAGAAAATTGCAAGCGGTTAGTACCCTTTCTTCACGCAAGATAAAGAAAAAAAAAACGAAAACACAGCACTGACATTCTGATCACCACACAAACTCAATTTGTATTGCGCTTTTCCTACGCGATTATTTTTCAAGAATCCATTAGTCAGTCAAACAATCTGTTCAACCAGGCATTCGGCTATAGCAGATTGTGCATAACGATCTGTGAATCATTTTGGAGATGAAAACCAGTTGCGCTTTTTATCCCTTCAGCTTATCATTGACAGAGAACGTAAGACCGCTTCATACTCTGCCCTTGAGATCAGCTGAAATGTATTCTGGATGTCTCTGGGTTAGAGGGCAGCGCTTTCTTTTGAGTCAAGGAGGCAGGACCTAAACGGTCACCGAAAATGTTCAAAAGTGGTAGTCCTGATTATCTCAGCAAGTATATGCTCCTCTTTGTTTGTCGATTATTCCTTGTGGTTCTCCTCGCAGTCCTTTCTTGCTGGTACAGCTGATGCTGGGGAGGCAGCCACACTACTCATACTGATAGACAAGGCCTGCTACTTCAAGCAAAAATGCGTAAACAGTGATGCAATATGCGCAAACTCAGAAGCGAAGTGCGCAAACAAAATAACATAGCACGCCAGAACACAGAGAGTTGAACTGTTTATATACTGTATAGCCATAGATTGGGGGAGGGGGGGGGGGAGGCGGAGGCAAATTAAGAATTTCTTAAACAAATGAACTATAGTAAACCATACGTTAATGTATCCGCGAGACTATTCCAAAATACGACTATGCACCGAAAAAAAAAGGTTGTAAATTTCTAAACGGTTAATTTAAAATAGTCGGAATACTTTTTTCCACTGATGCAGATGTCAGGTGCATGAGGTACCTGCGAAATATATTTAATGTGTTCTGCATCGCAGCCCCCGTTAACGACAAAATGTAAGACTGTTAGCCGGCCACTCGATAGTACTGTTGTACTCCTGAAAGAGAAAGATTCGATACCTAAAGTCGTGCAGGGGTCAATAAAAAAACAAAGCAATATTCACTCGTTCGATCGTACTTGTTCAAAAGAAATTGGATAGCTTTAGCTGAGTTAAGCTGATTACCATAACCCTTTATATTAGGATCTGAACAACAGATATATATTAGAAAATAGGCATAATCCGGTTTTAGAGGAAGTTTCACAAGATGGGGGGGGGGGGGGGGGGGGGGGCAAACCAGAACAATAACGCGGGTTGACGTCCTCGTATTTATTTTAATAAACTCCCTCACTAGAAGAGTTTATTTCACCTTTATGGTGTAACAGGTCAAGGCTCCATTGACGTACCCTAATGTATTTGAAGAGCGCCAGATACAATTTGGTTATTAGGCTCGCGCACTTTGAGGTTGGTGTACAAAAAAAAAAAAAAGCGAATATATATGAACCGGGCGCTATTTCTTTTTACAATTACCGCGTCAAAATCTCTCTATGATTTCTTTTCTATAAACTTGGCCAAAAAATCGTACTTCCCAACAGCTCAAAAAAGGTAGGGCGTAGCGGTTTCTGAGCATCTCATTATACCTTGAGAGCCAATGATACTGCCGTATTATTCGATATAGATGCCACAGAACGAATCACAAAGTGAGAAGCGGAAGCATAATAGGTACGCCATGCACTGCGTTCCTTAATAAGCTGCCAGTGGTTCTAAGCGAGCTTCTGAACGACTATTCAAATATACACGAAGGGAAAACAACGGGTCCTCTCTGTTTTCCATATGCGTACATCGTTCATTAATATATATCCACTAAAATCGCATATATTCTTGTTTTATATTTTACAAATTCCTCTCGGTGCTTAGTCGAAGAAACCTTTCACACTCTCTTCCTCCCTTTGCCTGCCTATTTCTTGCGCGCAGCTACAAGTTTGTAATCGTTAACCAAATCGCCTGCATCGCTACACAGCTATCGCTCTCGTTTTTTCGCGCATCGTGGGCGAAAAATACCTTTTTTTTTTTGTTTCAAGCCCTTGACCTTCTTTACATATTGACTCCACTCATCATTTCGGTACAGGCTCAATTTAACTCGAGGTTAAATTTATGTTTAACGAGTCTTTCTACCTTGTGTATAGGTACATATGTGCGAGCATGTGATTTGTCGTTTGCCAGAGATCACAAACTCACGGGCATGGACGTGCAGCCTTATGCCCGACCTCACTCTCCAAAGTTTAATAAAAATGCCCATACGTATCTGTAAAAAGCAATTGAACATTATAAAATACCCCTAATTAAATATATATTTGGCATGTAAATACTCGTAATTAAATAAGCTTTCTTCGAAGTATTTTGTATTTTGTGAGGTTCTTTGAAAGGGTGACTAAAGATTTCCGCGAAACAAAAACAGTCGATACGGCTACCCTGATTCCCTTGACAGCCTGCGGCGAGTGCTTTTCTCTTTGTATTGACGTCCGAAAACATAGGCGGATAAATAACCCTCTCAAAAGAGAGACTGAGGAAAAACCAAAACTGTGCCGCCTCAGAGAGTAGCATTCTTTCATTCTTTCCCCGAGCCTACGCAGGACGGGTTTTTCGCAACCGTAGCTCCATCTGTGGAACGCGGAGGGAAACGACAGCACTTTGAGCGGCGCGGCCGGCGCGAACCGAGGCAGACATCCCGTGCGTTTACTTGCCGTAATAGGCGAAACACTTTTTTTGTTTTTTCTTTTCATACAATACTATCATCTTGGAAGAGAGAGGGAGGGAGATCGGCAAAATACGGGCTGAAAATAGAAAATATGCATGAACCTAAAAGAAAGAATAGCCTGCCTTGTGACTCCAAGCATGACGTTTCAAGTGCTTTCGTCGTGCTCAATGTCACAGCGCGCACACTTTCTTTAAGTGAATGTGTTCAGCCTCGTCGAAAACATCATCAGGTAAGACAGTTTCAGTCTGGACGTCAGGATTTGTACTTCGAGTAAAAGATAAAAAAAAAAAAGAAAAAATAGAACAACAACAACATGGGCGTAAAATATTTGGAGGCAGTCAGTGAATACGAGGAGGTTGTTATCGTTGCTGGACCTCATTCAATTCCTACGTAAAAAGGTGAACTTTCTGTGTCTTACAGACGGCGACAATGAATCTTTTTCGTGGAAAGGCCGCACCAAGTGGATGAAGCTACAAGTTGGCGATTGGCGTCTGAAAGAGGTGTTGCGCTACCTCCCCTGCCTCCTCCGACGCTCATCTGAGTAGCGAAGGACGAGGGGTGGCGCAGCTCCCCTTACAGACGCCAACTGTAGTTCGAGGTTCCGTCTCTGTGTGGGGAGGGCCTTCCTCATGCACGTAACTCTTCCTGAAAAGGTCGATTGATACGGCGCTTACTCGCATGACAATGCATAGCTTAGAAACAACATGGAGTCGTAATTGAAAACATCAGGATGAAATTCGAGACACATGAATCTTCAAATGGGCCTTGTCGTGCATGTTGGTGTAAAAAGACGGTGTGAAGAATCTCTGTACCTTACGGTAGACGGCGGCTTCGCTTGTTTTCTGGCATGCCTCAGTAAGATCTGCAGTGATTTGATATTCACAATTGACTGACAAGTATCCAAAGTACCTGTGCGAACAAGTCTTTAAACAATACCGAGATTGGGCCGGTTACGTCGACAGGCCCGTCATTTTACTTTTGAAAACAGGATGCATGTGTTGCGCGATTAAAGAGGCAGAAAGGAAGATAGGCATGGGAAGTTTCATTTGGAAATATAAGGGCAAGCCGCAAGCCGTGATACACTGGGTGGCCTTGGGATTCTTAGAAAGCAGACGGGTGATCTTCAGTTATCTGCCTTACCTCTCTCTGAGCGGACTGCAATAGCCATGCGAGGGCCAGTTCCTGGTTTGCGGACATTTCTTATAGGAGTCGAGATAATTCGCAACCAAAGTCCACAAGACGCGATTGTTCATTGCCTTCCTCAACCAATGGTACTACTCCAGATAATCTTCAAGGAAAAAGTGAAATAGCCGCGCATGACTTGAGGCAAAGGGCTTGCAGCAAATCTTGTTTCAAGAAGGTTCTTCAAAGTAAGTAACAAATTTTGTTGCCTACATTGAAGGGCGGCCAGGGTGCTTGTGGTGATCGTAGCTTTCTATTGATTTTTTTTTTGTAAATGTACGTTTTTTAATTATGCGCCGATATTAGCTAGGTATATATGATAGTTTAGAAGAGTTTTGTATTATTGTTCAGCATCGCTGTCCCGTTTCTGAAGATAACCATCACGAGAGCAAAGACGCCAGTATTGTATATAAGGTCCTCATCTAATTGAAACCAATGATGCACATACGTCACGTGCGCCTCGTTAGAAATCTCGTTTACACCTTGAGCGTCCCGAACTGTCTACGAAACAACAATTGCGCGTTCAAGCTGCATGCTCACTGTTAGAAATCCGGAACGTGTACTTTCTCGCGAAGCACTTGGGAGAGCGCTCTAACCTGCGAAAGGGGCTCGGCCAATAAACAAAATAAAAATTCATCTAAAAAAAAGAAAAGAAAAAAAGGTGTGCACTGTGACATTGAGCACGACGTTTAAGTGTCACGCGTGCTCAGTCTCGGGGCGCGGAACATTTTTCAGGTGTAAACATATTTCCAATCTCCTAATTTTCCAAGTCCCCTTGATAGATTGTAGCTGTTGGTTTTTCCGAGTGCTCCGCAAAAGAATAGGCGCAACAGCTATCTTAAAGTATAGGACGATTGTCTAAAGGCTTCTTTATTCCACTGTCTTAGGTCATCCTATGGACGTGGGGGAGCATACAAGATGTTACCATAACTCGTTGCGCGCGTTACACGCGGCCTTTCGGGACTTTCGCAAGACGTATAAATACCAGACGAAGAAGCCGCGTTGCGACCGATTGATGCGAGACGAGCGAGTTATTTGACCGATTGTGTCGTAACTACTAAAACGGCCGACAGCGACGGTTAACTCATTTTCACTT